AGCTGAACGCACCCTTCTCTACAATTTTAAATACTGATTGGCACAGATCTGACAGCGCTTTCAGATGGAGCGGACCGTCCGCGCGGGTGTTTTTTCAAGATAGCTAATCCGGACGGAGCATACGCGACCCATGTGAAATTGTTCATAAAAGCTCATGGTACTTGCTCGAAGTCTCGGACGGTCCATCACGGACGCTCCGCTTCATCTGTCGGTCGACCGGTCAACCGCGACGAATCTGCTGTATTCCCTTCCGCGTCTCTTAGCAATGTGCACAGAGTTTCGGTTTATTTCATACGTTTGGTAACGTTTGTACTCTTCTCTCTTTGTTCATTACATTATAAACTCATTGTTTATTTGTATTCTTCTTACATACGGAAATTTCATCCCTTAGTGTAACTCGGTAGATACCGTTTTATATGAAAAAAGAAAGTCGGGTTAGTGACATCATTTATAACTGTAGAATAGCTAGGCTGATTTGAATTGATTCCTCTGATTTATTGGATTCATCCCCCTCGAAGAGCAGAATAATTATTAAAATATCGAAAAATTCATAGAAGAAAATTATACAGAAAATTATTTTTTAAATAATATAGGTTTGGAACCCCGCTATCATCGGTAATTGACAGCTCACCTGACGCACGATTTCAGCTTATTTGTAATAATTGATTTGCAGTTGAAATTAGTGACATGCTAGATTATATAATTTAAATTCAGCGGAAAATTATTGAAAAATAACATATTCTATTGTAAAAAGATATATTGAAATATAGAGAAAATACTTGAGCCGAAATGTAACTGATAACTAACTGTTAAATCGATTGGTTTCAATCATTCCAAATTTCAGCATTTTTGTCAGTTGACCAATAACGACTGACAAGCTAACTTTTTTAATTTTTTAGATTTCCCTTTCAGTAAAATATACAGGGTGAGTCTTAAATAAGTGCCAATATTTTTAGGGGTGGTATGTTTTTAGGCACACGTCCATATGAGTTTTTTTCTTAAAAAGATATTGAAAATCGTGCATTTTCTTTTAAATTTTCCTGTATATTTTAGAAAACTTATTAGAACTGTCTGTTCGCCGCAAATTTTCCCACGGTATAATTTCTTAATCTCTGATATTACCATGGTTACGGCACTAAAAGCGATGCAGAATGTAGAATAGAGGTGAGTTAATCACCGCAACCTTACAGATCTATTATGTGTTCCCCTTTCTCCAGTTATAACGAGTTCTAGCTCACCATCCTCGACATCAGCCGTACCAAAGTTCATGACATGAACGGTCGTTGTCTTGACGCAAGTATAAGCGCAGTGATAAGGTGTTCTGGTCACTAAAAGGGATGCAAATACAGAAAAAAAACAGTGGCTTTCAAACATTTTTAAAAGTATTTTTTTTTAATTTTCAAACTTAAATAACTCGACTATTTTGTACTTACTTGAAAATCAGTGAAGAGAAAATTTGTTTATTTTATCGAGATTTACCAGTCCTGAAAATATTTGCACTTATTTAAGATTCATCTTGTGTCAACTATTGTACATTAAATCAAATTAAAACTTTATCCAAAAAGTTATACAGGGTGAGACTAAATTAATATTGAACATTGTTTACCTTTAAAAGCATGTTACTCTTTTATTTTAAATGGAACACCCAGTATATTATTCCGATATTTAATGGAGAATTTATTTCTCTTCAAAATATTATTAAGGTTGCCTACCCTTCAAACAAAGATATTCCTAGATATTTTCATTTACATGATTTGATCCGAGTAGATCTTTATTATTTGATAAAATCTAGGTGGCTGGTGATATGTCTGACGTTACTTCAACATAGCTGTCTAATTAGTCTAACTTTAACAACTAGTTATCATTTTGTGTCAGTTAAAACACCAAAAAAATTCTCAGAAATTTGCCGAAAATACAAACTTATCCTACATCAGAGAGAATTGATATGATTCTATTAGTTGTAGAATGCAGTGTACATTCACCAATTACTTATTATTACTTAATCTTTCGCGGCGTATGAGAGGCGCCACCCTGTATAGTTATCTGATATTTTTAAAATTGCCTTGGCTATTACTGTTCTGTTTCTTTATTTTAACAAACGGTTTCTTTCTCGTAGAACGCCTCTTCACAATTTGTTTTAATAAAATTTCGTTTTCGCGGCGCGCGGGTTTTGTTTCCTTTGTGGATCGTTTAATTTATTCAAGTATATTAAATTACTTTGCTGGCTATTTCGAAGCTCAAAACGGCTTCAAAGACCGGGCTACGTAAGATTTATACGTGCGCCGGGGGCTACGAACGGATGGAAGCCGTTTGAAGAAATAATTTAAGTTCTTCTTTCGGCGCTTGTGTGATTTGTTTTTACTGCAGCCGTATTAATGTCGGCAATATGGCTTAAGCAGGTTTCCGACAGGCCAGCTCCCATATTTAACTCTGATAAACTTTTAATATTCAATTACCTACCATGCTAGATGTCTGTAGTGCTTCTTGGTGGACGAGAAAATTTTCCTATCCTAAAAGAAATTGTATTTTAATATAAACAGGGAAGAGAAGTAATATTAGTTATATAGGTATTTTATTAGTTTTTAAAATACTTAACTGTTATAATTCTAAAATATATGAGACGCATTTATTTTTTTGATTAAACTATAAATAATTATTCTAAATTTTTGGATTATAATGTGACGATGTATTTAAACTAAACTTTTATGGCTAAATAGATCTAGAGAAGTGTGTAATCTTTATACCGGTGGGTTTCTTAAAAGTGGCTTACTATAACTTTTATTTTTTCAGATAAATAAACGAGATTTGGTACATTAGTATATAATAAATCAGTTTTCATTGACGTATTCAATTGTTTTTGGTCATTTCCTGTTTCACCGGAAATGACTACAACTTCTGACTTTTAAATGACACCCTTGGTTTTTTTACTTTATTTGTATTTTAAATTTCAATTTAGAGTGCCATATCTGTATTAAAAGTACTAATTTTTAATCAAGGAGCCTTTGAAAAATAGATTTGATTGTCTAATGTTTTTCGTGTCTTGTCCTAGCCGGTTAAAAGATGCCCAAACCATATGTTTAATAATAACTAAAATTTTTCAAATGTAACGAAGGTGGCTCATTAGCATATTTGAAAAAAAAATTATACTAATAAAAATGTAACATATTTTTACGAATAATTTGCTACCACACACTTGGTATTTCAAGTAAAATTGTTGTTACATTTATGGCCGTGACACTCTAAATTGAAATTTAAAATGCTATTTTTTGTCATTCTATTCAGAATATCATTTTCCATTTTCCAAAAAGTTACAGGGGTGAGCCACTTTTGAGAACACTTTTAAAGGATACGGTCATAATATGGAAGCTGTTTTAATAAATAACATAAAGTCTTCTGCTTGTGTGATCTTGCTTTTGCTGTAGCCATATTAATCAATCAGGAATACGGCCTAACCAGGTATCCGTTCTATAAACTTTTAACTCTGATAAACTTTTAATATTCACTTACCATTCTGTATATCTGTAATGCGCTTCTTTTAATTATAAATATTTCTTAACTTAAAAGAAATATATTGATATAAATGGAAAAGCAACGAGTTATATTTTTTCAAATTTAAATTGTTATAGTTCTAAATCATATAATGCGCATTTCTTTTTCAAATAAATTATATATTAATTTGATTCTAAATTATCAGATTTTGACGTAACGAGCTATTTAGTCATGTTTGCTCGGAACCAGAAAATTAGTTCAAGTTGTGGGATTTTTAAAAACACTAAAATAAAACCTACTAAAATTTTCATATCTCATATTTGCCTTCGAAGTACATGGAATATTAATTTCAACTAATATCTTATATTTATTTATTTTGTGGCGCATTAAAGGCATCCTTTGAATATATTTTTAAGAAATATGGTCTTCGTTTGACCATTATACTTCACGATCATGAAAAATGTGTCTCGTAGATAGCCATTTTATTTCAGATTTTCTTTAACTTCTAATATTTATTTACAAAGATCATCTTTAATTTTACATTCTGAAGTGTAACGTCGTCTATTGCACTCATGTGTTATATTGTAAGAACATGCACTTACCTGTATATACAATATTATGATCGAAAAAAAACGGCTTCAGCGATGGCAATGAATGAAGATCGCTGTAATTTTATATATAAAATTATATGGATAGATCATTGATCGTCATTTTTCAATTACACTTAACATGCACTTAAATAGATTTAAATCTACAATCTAAGAAATAAGCTTCTTTTTTGTTTTCCTCCTGCGATTTCTTTTAGGCATTTATTGTTTCAAATTTCTTTTTACAACCAACTCAGCCTTTATCCCAACTATTTAAAAACATAATTCAGGGAATTCAAGGTGCCTTTTTTTCAAATTAATATATTTTTTAAAAATATGCGATAATTGTGAGTAGTTTAATATTTAATAGTTTCTATGAAAACATTTGCTTCATGCAAATCTGATTATCTTAATGTATATATTAGATATATTTATAATCTATGTGTTCAACTAGGGGAAATTATTAAAAAAACATAATTTTGAAATATATGAATCGCATTTCTTCTTATTCGCATAAATAATAATTTCATGCAAAATTGCTAAATCTATAGAATTTAACCTTATGATATGCAATAGTGCCACTATACTATAACACAACGTGGAACCCTATTCTTGTGTTATACGAGGTAAGAGAATGAACGGATGATTGTTTTTTTTTCGTACTGTTCTTCCAAGGCAATAATGTAAAATTTGCAGGCGACATATATGGCAGTGACCATATGAAGTCAAACATCTTGTAAATAGTGCCTACTTAGACTAAGTCGGTTTAACTTTTAAAAATAAATAATGTTATAAACCAAAGAAATATATTGTTAATAAGAATCTTAATTTTTTATGATACTACTCGACTACTGTTTAATTTTAATACAAGAATCATTAATAATAACAATATTTAATAACTAAACCTTTTTATAATGAATTTAAAAAAAAATATTAATATGATTTTTCATTTCAGTACATGCGGCGCCATCAATTGAAGCATGTCCACCAGACAGTATTTTATCGGATAACACTTGCATATGCAACATGGATTCCTGCGTGAAGCCCCCTTGTCTATCGGATTTGGAAATAGTAACTAGTGGTGATGAAAAGCCCGGATCCTGTTGTCCTCTTTATTCATGTCAAGGTAGCGTACTAATCTTTTTAATATTAATGCAGTATTATAAGTAAATACAATCAATACACAGCAGCATACTATACCGAGAAAAAGACAAGTTAGGTTTGTTAATACTTTTAAAGTCATTCCTTAAAATCGCCTTCATATTTTATAAAGAAAAAGCCATGATCTTATACAAAAAGTAATTCACAAAAGTATGAAAAGGGTCATTGGGAATATTATCAATTATTTTGTTCTTTTTAGGCTGCAAGAACGAATCACTAATCAACGGGAAGTGTCCTTGTGCTCCCGGGGCAGTGATCAATGAAAGAGGTATTTGTGAATGTGTGGAAAAGGAACTGCATCTTGTTAATGGCGAATGCGTTTGCAATCCTCAACAATGTGAACTTCCACATGTTTGTGGAAAGAAGCATGTTTTAACAACGATAGAGGACGGTTGCTGCCGAAAAACACGGTGAGTTGTTCTCAGTAGATGGTTAAATTTTATGAGAACCTAGACGTTCGGTCAGTTAGTTAAATATCATTATTACTAATCATATATTATCACACTCTTGGATACTCGAGGCATTCGATGAAATTTCTACTTGTACCTAATTGTATCAGTAAAGTATTTGACTAATATTCTTAAATAGAGTGAATAAAGTCTTGTGGAAAATAAATAAATAAACAAAGAAAGAAAGAGGTTTGAAAAAAAAATTGTGAAAAATATGTGATTTATACAATAGTTTTTCTTATGTTATATTATACAAGGTTGCAATATAAAAAGTGGCAATCGGGAATGTCAAATAAAAATACTATCATGAGATTTCATACAGATTGGTAGATTAGAGAAAGAACATTAGGTTTTTGTCTAAGAGAAAATCAAAATTGATAATTTTTAAATAAATATGTCGTTTAATTAACTATTTTGCTAGAAGACTATAATAAGTGGGCAACAAACTTTTCTGTAATGGGCAACACAAGGTAGACTTGTAGGGTGATTCAAAAAGTTTTATGGTATTTTAGATCTTGGTAATATTGTTACGGATTCCGTGGGTCCACTAATTTAAACTCACGATAAAATACTTAACGAATTTATTTTCTCACTTTATACACAATTACTAACTTATAACACACAACAAACTAAGATTCCTTCACCAAATTGTCCGATTTTCAATTTCCACGCGGTATATTCAAATTTCAAAAACTGTCTCAGTTGTCGATGGCTCCGGCTTATATACTCTATTGACTGCTTCTCGAAATTTCCCCATTCTCGGAAAGCGTATTTCTTCATACCAGACAATTCTATTGTCTGATTCCCTCTTTACTTCTCGACTTGACTAAAAGATGGCGCCTGAAAAAGTCTTTTAATTTCTGGCGGATACGTTGCGGTTGTGCAGGCAACCAGTAATACATTTTTAATTTCTGGCGGATGCGCCATTTTTCTTGACATTGCCCCTTCTCAAATTTGATCGTCCCGATCAAGGTTTCCTGTCTGGTATCTCTTCAATCGATCCAGATGAACTACTTTCATCTTACTTCTAGGGCTGCGTTGAATCCGGTACACAACATCATTTATCCTCTTGATGACTGTATAAGGACCTTCCCATGCTGGAGTTAACTTTGGGGACCTCCTTTCTTGCGCTGTGGGTTATATAACCATACCAGATCGTCCTGTTGAAATCCCGTAGAATTAGCTCTGAGGTCGTAACGAGCTTTCATCCGGTCACTGGCTAGCGTAATCTTACTTCTTCACGGCCTTATGAATTCCCAATAATCTTTCCTTCCTAACGACTCTTTCGAACGACCGTCCAACGTTATCTTGTTCCATTTTTCCTCCAGATCGAGTACTTGGTCCTTGTCTAGCTGCGCAAATCTTACAACGTTGACACCATTTCTTAACATCTTCACAATAATCCACCCAGTAAAAGCGATCTCTCAGCTTGCTCAAGGTCTTGTTTACCCCAAGATGGGCTCCAGTTTTACCACCGTGAATTTCTTCCAATACCTGGGTAACTTTCTTTCTTGGTACCAGTAACTGAGTTGTTACTGTCCTGCCATCCGCACTTTCCCACGTGCGCTTTAACAATCCATTCTCAATAACCAGTGAATTCCACTGAACCCAGAGAGCTTTGAAAACGAGGCCCTCTGTTTGCAATATCCTGCCACGGTGGTCTCTCGCCGTTACCTTCCTTGAGCCGTAGTATTGCTCTGATGTCTGATCTTCCATTTGATCTTTCCTCAATTGTATCGTCGTCCATGGTTCGTCAGTTCTAAGCTTAAAATTCCTTATTCTGATAGTGCTTTCGCGATGTTTCATTTTCTTGTCCAAGGTAGCTCGTCGTCGATCTAGGTCGTTGTCGATAATTTGTACCCGTCCTACACGGCACCCAACGGTTTTCTCTAGTTTCCCGAACACGGTCTTCTTGGTATCACCAGGTATCATCACAATTTCCGATGATCTTTCTTCCATATTTCCTGGTCTCTTCTCTTTAGATACAGAAAATTCCTCATTTCCGATTTTCAGGATGTTTCTACGGTGATCGAACGAAAAACCATGTTGACTGATCACATCCATACCCATGATAAAATCATCTTCAATGTCAGCCACCAAAACGCTATGCCGAAACTTCAAATTCCCTAACTCCAATTCCATGAAAGCCTCTCCCCGTACAACGGCCATTTCCCCCGTAACTGTACGTAAATACACTCTTCTTCTAAGAGGCATCATCTTCAATCCTTTTGTACCGAGTTAGTCCGCACCAACGATACCATAGCGCCTGTGTCCACAGTCATTCGAATTCTTCTACCATTGACCTTCCCGTTGATCACCAAACTGTCAGCGGTTTTCCCTAGACTCCTAACGGAAAACATCCTAGGGGCTCTGTTTTCTTCAGCCAATACTCGCTCATTAGTGTTGATTTCCTGGTGCCTATGTTCTCTCGATGGTAAACGGAATCGCATTTGGACGCGGCAATCCCGTTTGATGTGGCCATTCCTGCCACATCTATAGCAACTTATGTCCTGGGATCTTCCGATGTGCCGATGTTCTCTGGATGGTGAATGGAATCGCATTTGGATGCGACAATCCCGTTTGATGTGGCCATTCCTGCCACATCTATAGCAACTCATATCCTGGAATCTTCTTTGGCTCTCTGTCTGGGTGTTGTTGACTCTCTTGTTCACTAGTAATTCACATAGTTTATTAAACATCTCCTCCAAACGTATGTGAGAACTCTTTGGCTGTTCCTCAACCGTTACCGAGCCTATCTTCGGTTTAGGAATGGCGCTAAATGCAGCTTCTATTTCCAGCGCCCTGACGAGTATTTCGCCGCTGCTGGTAGAAAATTGCGATATTTGCAGCGCCCTCTGTAATTCGTTGTCCCTCAGTCCGCTGATAAAGCACTGAGCAGCGAGTTCCTCCCTAAATCCTTCCGGTGCTTCAGGATACGCTAGGTGTACCAGCCGACGTAAGTCTGCTTCAAATTCCTGCAGACTCTCTCCGGACCTCTGCAGGCGTGTCTTGATCTGTGCCTGGTAAAGTTGGCGTCGATGTTGGTCGCCATATCTTCTGTCCAGTGCAGCGACCAAAGTTTGGTATTCCTGCTGTTGGGCTGCAGGAATAGTTTGCAACAGTTCCAGGGCAGGGCCACGCAGCGCGATGACAAGTGCCGCTGCTTTCTCCTGGTCAGTCCATCCGTTGGCAGCGGCGGCTGCTTCAAACTGGCGGTGGTACATCGTCCAGGTGGTTTGTCCATCGTAGGTCGGGGCCTTGAGGTTCGCAGTTCCATGAACGCCAGGTGTCTTTACTTGTACCTTGGTCTTCTGTAGGTCCATCTCTAATTTTTCCATTTTCTGCTGAAGGCGTTCCTCAAGATCTTCTACGGCTTCTTGAAGGTGGATGTCTTGCCTTTTTTTCAGTTCTTCAAAGTTCTTCTTAAATCGGTTTTGATCTTCTAATTTTTCTTTCTGGCGACGCACTTCTAAATCTTCAACAATTTTCTCCAACCGTTCTTGTCTAATTTCTTGATTTTCAAGAATTTTCTGAAGCCGGTCCTGTTCTTCTTGTTTGTCGTGCTCTCGTTGAACTTTGAAATCTTCCAGAATTTTCTCAAGCCGGTCCTGTTCTTCTTGTTTGTCTTGTTGTCGTTGAATTTTCAAATCTTCGAAAATTTTGTCTTGCCGGTCCTGTTCTTCTTGTTTGTCTTGTTGTCGTTGAACTTTCAAATCTTCGAAAATGTTCTCAAGCCGGTCTTGTTCTTGTTGACGTCGTAGTTTTTCCTCTTCCTTTTCTGTTTCTAATCGGGCTCGCTCTTCTTCTCGTTCTTTACGGAGTCTTTCTTGTTCTTCTGCTTTCTCCCTTCTCATATTCTCCATAAAATCGCCTAATAGTTTGCTTACTTCCTCCATTTTCTTCGCTTGTTCCCTTGTACCAACCATAAAAATACTCTAATCCGGTCTAAAAATCTTCCAATCCACTTAATTTCTTCTTAAAATCCTCTTGAATCGCACTTCCGACACCAATTGTTACGGATTCCGTGGGTCCACTATTTAAACTCACGATAAAATACTTAACGAATTTATTTTCTCACTTTATACACAATTACTAACTTATAACACACAACAAACTAAGATTCCTTCACCAAATTGTCCGATTTTCAATTTCCACGCGGTATATTCAAATTTCAAAACTGTCTCAGTTGTCGATGGCTCCGGCTTATATACTCTATTGACTGCTTCTCGAAATTTCCCCAATTCTCGGAAAGCGTACTTCTTCATACCAGACAATTCTATTGTCTGATTCCCTTACTTCTCGACTTGACTAAAAGATGGCGCCTGAAAAAGTCTTTTAATTTCTGGCGGATACGTTGCGGTTGTGCAGGCAACCAGTAATACATTTTTAATTTCTGGCGGATGCGCCATTTTTCTTGACATTATTATTTGTTTAGAAGATATCCCCGTTTACTATTTGTTACCCTTACCTGTTTATTTAATATTGATAAATTACAACAATTCTAATAATTTTTAGTACTATTTATGCAGGGTGTCCCAATATTCCTTAGACATAGAACTACTACGTATTTTTGGAATCAAAATAATGTAATTGAACACAATTTACCTTTATTCAAAAGTACTTTGTTGATCCGTTAGAAGGCATCTATAAACGTTAATTAATTTAAAGTTTATGAAACTTATTGTAATTTTTTTTGTGAAACTGACATAACATTCAACTTTTTCACGAACTAGATTATTATCACATAGTAGATTTTGACGCTTAGTGAGGTAATGAATATTTTTATGTGTCAACTTCGAAAAAACGTTTTATTTCAAACGTCACAAAAGTATTAATTTTTAAGTAATTATATTTTATTATATTTTTTAAGCAATTTTTATTACTAATAATAAAGCACTTTTACGCCTAAGCACAAAAGTACAAAAATATTTTGTTAAAATTCGACAAGTTTTTTTAACCATGTTTATCGATATACAGGGTGCTCCGTACAACTGTATTCTGGAAACTTCGGCAGCATATTCTGCAGATAAAAATAAGTAAAAAAGTTCGTATAATGTATGTCCTAAAATGCTTAGTTTCGGACATACAGGGTGTAGAAGTTTCATTTTTATTTCGAGTTTTTCCAAATAATTTCTGAAGTAACGTCAATATTTGGATGAAAATTGATGTCTGGGAGTTTTTTGACATGAGAAATTTGATTTTGATGTCCATATGACTCGTACTAGTAGGGGGCGCCACCTACATATTTTTAACTGGTTTGAACAGTAATAACTTTTCGTCCGTACCTGTATAAAACTACTGAGTAAAAAAATATATTTACGACATTTTTTACGCGAAAAGGTCTCTTTGTAAAAATCGCTATGTGTAATGGTTTTCGAGATATTTGGAATCAAATTTCTCAATACCTGTCATCATTGACAGAAATTAAACATGTTGACTAAATAGTTATTAGACTGAAATCATAAATTTGAAATGTTTTTAAAGTTCTAAAAGTTCAACAGAAACTGTTTTATCGTAATTTTTTGCAGAAAAATTTATGATTAATTTAAAAAAGTGAAAATTTCCCAAATGTAATATTTCAGTGAAATAACTATCTACTCTACGTGTTTATTTTTCGTCAATAATGACATGTATTGTCTATTTCCATTCTAAATATCTTAAGAACGGTTGCTCGTAGCGATTTTTACAAAGAGATATTTTTTACGTAAAAAGTCACAGTGATGTATATTTTTTCGCTCGGTAGTTTTATACAGGTACGGACAAAAAGTTATTATGCTTCAAAACAATTAAAACACATGTCGGTGGCGCCCTCTACTAGTAGGAGTCATATTGACATCAAAAACAAATTTTTCATGTCAAAAACCTCCTAGACGCCAATTTTCTTCCGAATATTGACGTTACTTCAGAAATTATTTAGAAAAAATCGAAATAAAAATGAAACTTCGACACCCTGTATCTCTGAAAGTAGGCATTTTAGGACATAAATTTGTACGAACTTTTTTACTTATTTTTGTTTGCAGAATATGCTGCCGAAGTTTCCGGAATACAGTTCGGACCACCCTGTATATAATTAATGACAAGGTATTATATTACTTTTGAAATTGTTTAAAAAATTATTTGTGACGTTTCAAAAAAAATAGTTAACTCATTTTGATACAAAAAATACGTCGATATTCGAACACCCTTTGGGTAAACTAATAAAAATGCTAAATAAGTTTGTACTTATTTTATATAATTTATTTTTAGATGCTTGCCATGTCCCGATGACAGTGAATCGACGAATCTTGACAGCGATAGCATCGAAGACCACTGCGTTTGTCTTCCTTGCAAGAATTATTGCGATCATAACAAGACTATAGTGGTGAAGAAGAAAGGCACCAATTTCCCAGGCAACTGTTGCGACCTCTATGAATGTAAACTGTTGGACAAAACAGAAAAAAATTGTGTGGTGGGTGATATTATCTACGCTGATGGTGAAACCTGGTCTACCGCAGATAAACAAGAGTGCAGATGTCAAAACGCCCTATCGCTATGCACTACGCGAGACGACACTAAGAACTGTATATATGATGGTATTATGAAACAACACAACACCACTTGGAGAACAGATAACGATTGCACAGAGTGCACCTGCTTGAACGGCGATATCAATTGCATTTCCCATTTCTGTGAAACTAAAGAGGCCAAGATCAAAGAGAGCACCCCTACGTCTTGTACACGGAACGACAACATATACGAACATTTGAAGATATGGATCGACGAAAGAGATAATTGTACTGTATGCCAGTGTTTCAATGGTAAGTAAATATTTCTGTACTTTCACATTGGAGTGTGCTGTTAGATATAAAATTTTAGACTGCAATGTGCAATTGGAATGTGTTACAACACCAAAATAAAAAATTAGTTCACTACAGTACACCAAATCACCAAAACACTACTTTTGGCATTAAACGAGCATTTCGCTAACCTTGTTATCATTTTTATCAAAGGCGCGTCCAGTATTACAATTAAAGTATTTTGGTATACAGGGTTATACAAATTCGAGGTACGAACATTGGTATCTCGGTAACTGTAATAGATACGAACATGGTTAAACTGGGGCGAAGTTGCGCTTTGGTTCATCAAGATGCCATTAAAAAAGTTATAAAAATTTCAAGGATTGCTGAGTTTTTTGGAAAAAAAAGGATTTTTTTGAAAATTAATTTTATTTTTTCCTGTCGTTACTTTTAAGAAACTCAAAAAACTAATTGCACATTCTCATAGCCACTTAGATAATTTGTGAAATACAGAGGTCAACTTAATTTTTTTAAATACGCCTGCATTTTTGCATTTTTTATTTTCGGTTTTGAAAGAACTCGGTCTCCTGAGTACAATGATATGCCACACTTTATACTTTTTTTGTTTTGGGTACCTTAACAACAACAAAACTATTTAATTATTATTTAAAATAATTTCAAGTCCGACTCTGGTTTTTAAATTATTTAATCTGATTATATTCATCGCAACAATATTGATCAGCGCTAATTAACATTGAATAAGGAAAATCGAGCCAATTGGAAGATTCAAATAAATTATATCCAGGTGGGCAATTTAAAGATATTATTTTTAACTTTTCTTATTGTGAATTTGAAATATCAATGTGCGATCTCATAATATGCGTAATATTAATCGTAGTTATTATAAATAAACCAACTTCTACAAACTAGTTTCTAATGCTCTACATATTCGAAAGGGTTACCACCCTCCCTATTGCACAAATTTATTTTTCGTTCAGTTTTATTTATAGCTCTTTGAACTTTCTTCTTCTACTTGATATTTTTACGTATGCATTTTCTACTCTTTATTATAAATGTTGAGATATATTGATTTCACAAATGACGTGAAGTCGTGTATTCATTTGTATATTATTTTTTATTATTTTATTGTATTTGATTTTCCATATTCAATGTTTTACCCCACGTCATTGTTAAGTTTGAAAGCTTATCAATCTTGTAACGATGAATAATGAATAGATTAAATATTTAAAAAAAACAGAGCCGGACTTGAAATTAGTTTGAATAAATTGTGTTCAAATGTCCGAAACAAACAAAAAATATTAAGTGTAGCATATCATTGTACTCAGGAGATCGAGTTCCTTCAAAATCTGAAATAAAAAATACCGTATAACAGTCCGTATTTAAAAAAAAATAAGTTGGCCTCTGTATCTCATAAATTATCAGCTAATTTGAAAATCTAAAAATACTACTATCAGATAGACCTTATAAAGTGGCTATGAGAATGTGCAATTAGTTTTTTGATTTTCTTAAAAGTAACGACAGGAAAAAATAAAATTCATTTTCAAAAAAATCCGTTTTTTCCAAAAAGCTCAGCAATCCTTGAAATTTTTTTAAAACTTTTTTTATCGCATCTTCTTGAACATCCCAAAGCGCAACTTTGCCCCAATTTAACCATGTTCGTATCTATTATGGTTACTGAGATACCAGTGCTCGTATCTCGAATTTGTAGCACCCTGTATTGTCGTTATCTAGTGTTTTGTAGTTATCTAGTCTCAAATTGTAACTGTTGAAAGTAACACAGAATAGAGATTAGTTCGTTGAGTTTTATATTTTGTACACAACAATAATTGTCCTCAGGTTACCATAGGGTGATAACGTATAGTAGTAAATTTTATCTATACAGTGTGTCAAAAAGTAATGTATATAACTTTAGTGGGTAATTCTACGGATAAAAATAAGACAAAAAGTTCCTATGAATATATGCCCTGAAATGCTTTCCGAAGAAGTTACAGCCCTCGAAAGGGTAAACTGAAATAATATATTTTGTTTATTTTCAAGATCATTGGTAAACCGTCTTTCTTGAAATTTGGTACTCTTACACACATTTAATGCAAAAGCGAATGGCGATAGTGTAAAATTCCGTAACAGTCCTCAAAGGGTACTTTCTTACGACTTTAGGACTTTTTTACGTATACAAGGTACTCTTGGTTTAGTTCGAAACAGTGAGCGGTTTTTAGAATATTTACGTTTAAAGATTACGATATATCGATTTTAGTACTAATACTAAAATGAGAGTTAAAATACTAAAATGAGAGTAAAATCATCAGATTAATTAATTTATAATTTCTTTTTTTATCATTTACCATTTTGCTAATCATAATTATAATCTTTATTTTCTAGGCGTTGAACAGTGTAACTCGACCAACTGTGCCATAAAAGAAACACCGGAAGTACACGAATGCCGTCCATTATCAGATTGCAACAAGCAATGTCCCAATGGTTTTAGACTGAATAGAAGAGGTTGCGAAATCTGTAAATGTAATCCGACCAGGGTTGGTCAAGAGTTACTCAGCAAATATAATATTAGCATGAACGATCTGATCCATATCTTAAACGATTACGTTAGAGAAAAAATCGATTCTGAAGAAACAAATACTACCTCGACAAGCACGACGACCACAACTACTCCTCCGTCCATTTTAACTATTCTGAAGAACGATGAAGGTATTCTTGACAAATCAGCCAGTGATACTACCATTAAGCCAACATGTTTTTCAGAAAATGGTGAGTACCTAGATTAGATTAGATTCTTCGAGGTGGCTATCGTCTTGATCCACAGCGACCTTTTCAGATCTGTTGTGGTGCTCTTCTAATCTTTAGGTTACATTCTCCAGCCCTGTCCTTTTTACAAAGTGTAGCAACTCGAAGACTGAACTCTCCATATAGCTATTGTCAATAGCCTTATTACCGAGAACCGCACATTTGTCAAGCTGTCGCACCGACTTAAAATACTTTCTGTTGTTTCTTCTTTAGATTGACAGAACCTGTACATGGCTGCGTCCGTCAATCCTATTAGCTTTAGATGTCTATTCAGCTTACAATGTCCTGTTCGTAAACCCACTACAGCTTTGACCGTCTTTCTGACAGTCTGCCGTGAATTTTGGCGAATGTTGCTAATGCTAACTATTTTGCCTGCCTCAGCCCTGGTGAATTTCTTCTTCCACCATTCCATAGATTTGTTAGCCAGCCATCGTTCTGTGATCATTCTCATGACTCATTTTGCAATGCTGCCGAATGAATCTGGACAGATGAATGGCATTAATGACCCTTGTTTGACCATTTCATCTGCCTTTTCGCTACCCTTGTGACCTTCGTACCCAGGCTAACGTCACACTGCTACACTCACCCAAAATATTTAGAGCACACACACAATTCCACACTAGTCTAGAATCAACCTGCCAGTGCCTTTCGCGCTGCTCAAGTAATAATAAGTCAGTGAAGACTGACAACCAAGATGAGATAATGATATAAGAAAGAGAAAGATGAGATGCCATTAGAAAGAGATAGAATAAGGAAGTAACGGGTGATTTAATTTTGTCGGCGTCGCGCGTCGAACTGCTGTCCTGCGCAGTGACGCCAAATCTAAAAAAATCCGAATTTATATAGAAATAATTATTTTGATTACTTAATTAATTACTTATGCTATTCTTATTTTATGATTTTGTCAATAACCTACCCTGCTTTGATTTGCAATGTACACCACTGATATTCCTATTCTAAAGGCGCATTCTCACAACTCGTGTACTTGACAAACGTTTGTTATTGGAACATACTCGCCATGTCGTCGTGAGAACGGTTTCCTTGGTCACTCGTCGTGTCCCCACTCTCTGTCGGTAAATATGGCCCGAGTCAAAGGATCACAACTGCTCAAATAATTGTACTGTTATAGAGTATGTCCCGTTTATTTCCGGATCGTAATGCTTTTCGAGTTAATTGCGGATAATTTAAAACGTTAAAACAATAATAGATTATATAATATCAAATTTACATTAATAACTTCAATATTGGCGACATACCTAAATCGTTCTCACAGCAATAAATGGAGTGGACAAATGAATCGTACACGGGAAACAACAGATATGTCACATTTTCATAGAAATTAAGATAGCGATACAACTTTATAGACATGTTAACGTCATTCGAGGAAAAAGAAAGCAATAATACGCTTAGTCCCAGAGATATTACAGCTTGGTTATTTTGCCGTACAAAGAAAAAAGCAGAGTAGTCCGCGCGTAAATGGCAAAAACCAGAGATGTACTTACGCATGGGCGACAAACATGCATCTTGCAATTAGTATTATATGTTATAAATTTAAATATTGTAATAAAAACCTACTTAAGTATTAATTTTCTTTCTACAAGAAAAAAATAATAGTTTAGATTTAGGTTTTATACAACCTTTTCAGGGACGTCCCTGGTTTTCCCCTGTTTTGTTTTGCATTTTGACATTTTTATTTCGGTATTTCAGAATATGGCGATAATTCACAATATTAATAATTCAGAATTGATAGTAATATATATTTTTCTAATTATTCAACCAAAAATAACATATTTCTTTAAAAACACTAAATCCATTTTTCTCGGCTCCAATTAAAATGAACAAAACTGGGTTTTCCCGTGTAGTCTTCAAATGATGTTTTGGAATTTATGGATTTATACGAAAATGAGCCTTTCATATGAATGCCAAACATAAAGGACATAAAAATCGTATTGCAGTGTACAGGGTGGGTCAAATTCGACGCTTTTAAATGGAAACACCGTTTTCTATAGGAGATAGACAAAAACTAATATCGGTGTCTGGAGCCCAATTTTTGTCAAAAACATGATGGTGAAAACCGCATATCGATATCTGTTACCGATTCGGAGTTACCGGGTGTTTTTCAAAAATATGCATTTTTAACAAATCGCTGTAACTTTTTTGCTATGGAAAATTTTGTATTTTTATGAAAACATTTCCAAGGCACCTTTTTACGTAGAATTTAATGGTTTAAGTATAATTTTTTAAAAATTGATAATTTAAGAATTATCAATAGAAAATTTGATTTTTTATATGGGACACCCTGTATATTTTTAATTTATTGAAAAGAATTTAAAATTACTTCTCCAAAAATATAACACACTTGATATTGCTCGATTCATCTTCGAGATATAGAGTATATAAAAATTTGCCTGCTTTAAATAAGTAGGGGTTATTAAGGTAAGTAAGTACCGCATTAACTCAGTAGGGGTGAAAGGTACCCTCTCATAACTTCTAAGTAGTTCTAATTCTTGTCTAGATTATACGGAAGAATAAGGAACCTTTATTCTTCCGCAAATATATCCATAGGATTAGATCCATGGGCACTAAGTCAGGCGGCCTCGACGGCCAACGGCTGAGATCTTGGTAAACTATACAATTATTATTCCTGAAAATGGCTGCAAAAATTTGCTGATAACTTCAGCGTTCAGAGGCGGTGCGTCGTCTTACTGGAAAAAATATGTTTTCGAGTTCCATTAAGGGCATATCATCAATGGGTCCAAAGCCTACTAGTTAAAAGTGGCGAACTTTTAAAAATTCTGTATTTCGAAGGGGATTTTAACAAAATATCAAGTGTGCTATATTTTTGGAAAGGTAATTTTAAATTCTTTTCAGTTAATTAAAAATATAGAGGGTGTCCCAAATAAAAAATCAATTTTTTTGTTGATAACTCTTAAAATACTAATTTAAAAAAAACATACTAAAACCATTAAATTCTACGTAAAAAGTGCTTTGGAAATGTTTTCATAGAAATACAAAATTTTCCATAGCAAAAGTTACAGCAATTTGTTAAAATGCACATTTTGAAAAACACCCCATAACTCCGAAACGGTAACAGATATTGATGTGCGGTTTTCACCATCATGTTTTTGATGAAAATTGAGCTCCAGACACCGATATTAGTTTTTGTCTATCTCCTTTAGAAAAGGGTGTTTCCATTTAAAAGCGTCGAATTTGACCCACCCTGTACAGTAAAAGAACTTAAAAAGAAAACAGAATCACTAGCAACGAATTTCGGGAGGACCGCGGTATCCATTGATGCGACTATACTGTTTACTTTCGAAGGATTTAAACAATGTTTGTGCTGGCGTACTTGTTGAAATGGACACGTCGTGTGAGCGCCACACCTGCCAATGTTGTTTACAAAGTGTGGACTGAGGGGAGTGGTGGGGATACTTGCCAAGTATGCAAATACTGGCGTACTTGCCAAGTAGACGAGTCGTGAGAGTGCGCCTTAAAGTATCTTTTCAAAAAAAAATCCTATTCAAAAAACTGTTCCTTCTAATGTATCGTATGATCGAAAAAGACGGCGTCAGCATGGCTATGTAATGAAGATCGCTGTTCATATGTAAAATTATATGGGGAATGTCATCGACGACGTTCACTTTCAAGCCAACTGGACGCCTTTTTTTCGATCGTACGGTATTTACCTCATATAAAACCGTAATATAGCTTATACCCTAATATATTTAACTATTTTTGTTCAGCTTTATTCTATTCAAAAAAAATCTTTTCAGATAATTCTAGCTGGATAGTACCAGTTGCAGTTATTGTGATTGTTGTAATTGCGATCACGACTGTTTACATATGCTACAAGAGCAAAAGAAGACAAAGTATGGACATAACTCCTTTCAGAGGCAAATACCACACCGTCAATCTCATGGACAACAACAACACCATCAAAAAAAGCTCTATTGGTTATTAAAAAACTCAAATGCTATTATTGTGATATTTTAACTGTATTTTAAAAGCTGCATCGCAGAATAATGTTTTAAATATACATATTAATAATAATCTTTAGTAGATAGATGACTACATCAGAACATAACACATAGACGATAAAAATATTTGTGCTTTTTATATTATGCCTATGGTATTTTTAATATGCAATATTTAAAAAAAATTCTCGGAAAAGGAAGTTCTAGAAAAGGATAAGTATTAATATAAAGGATCTAAACTGTGTAAAGAAAAAAATGTCTATGAAGTACTCGCCTACATGTTACGAGAGTATTACCAAACAAAGATTAATTTAACTATTATTATCACCATTTTTTTCTCTTATTATTTTATAATAATAATGATGCAAAAATTGACTTAACAGTTATTGTTTATATCCTAAATCGGTAGGCAGGGTTAATATAATTTAAAATGAATATCAAAATGTAAATGAGTAACCGATTTTTTTAATAGTTTATAAAGTTAGCCTTATTTTGTTTGATCACAAAAGATTTATAAAAAGAAATTATAAAGAAATTCGGTTCTGTAAAAACAAAGAAAACATGACATTAATTTCATTTCGATCTCAAAATTATCAAAATGTATATTGCTTAGTATTAATTACAGTAGATTTAGTAAACCTAATTTTAGTTGAAGAAAAAGTAACCCTGTAATTTAAGGCTAAACAGTTATATCATAATTTCGATATCAATTTGAATTTGAAACATAAATCACTCTAAAAAAGTAAAACTGTATGCAAAATAGAGTTTCTGTAGATTGTTCCTATCACTAAGACTTCGACTTTACTTTAAATATTTATTTTTGTTAGTTTAAGTTCATTTTTGTTTAACTCCAACAATCAATGCACCGTCTTGAATGAGTGTCTAAAGGCAAATTATATTTTTTATAGAGTAATAAGACTAGTATTACAGAGTTTTGTGGAAATAAATAAGAATAAACCGGTATTCTATAGTTAATTATTTATATTTGCAGATACAGACATCTATTTATATTACAACAGAGCAACCACCTGAATCGCCAGCGGGAAATTGAAATTCCAGTTAGTCAGCTCGGCGTCGAATATATCCATGGTTGGCAACAATGAATTAATCGCGCCCTCGATGACGTAACTAAACGTTTCTTTGGTATCGCTTATAGTTATCATAATGGGCAATAATTTTAAAATAAATTTACACAATTATTAAGTAATAAATATGCACATCACTATGTGAATTACACTTTTAAATTAAAAAAAAACTGTGTCTAGCCCCAGCAAGGCAACTATTAAGCTTTGGTTAGCGTGGTTATTTGGAGGGTGTTAATTCATTGGTTAGTTGGTTATTTGGTGGAGTTATTGTTGGTTTTTACTAATTTATATTTGTTTTTTAGATATTCACTGATTTTCTTTATTTGTTTGTAATAAATTATATAGTAAGCCACAGCTGTTCTGCATCCGCTTTTGTCAAAAACTCTAACGTGATTGGTCAAGCTTAATAGTTGCCTTGCTGGGGCTAGACACAAGTGTAAAAATATATATTATAATAGTGGCTTATGGAAAAAAAATGGCTAGAATCTTTTCATGTAATTTTATTTGCAATTGTTACTCTCGTGCCAGAATATTAACGCTGAGAATATTCGAGGTAGTAAAGTTATTTTAGAAAAATATGTCTCTTAATTATATTAGAGTTAATAATTACATCGCCGCTTATTCAATACATACCTGATATCTGATATCCTATACATATTTTGTCGTCGTCTTTACCTGCCATCAGAATGTAAAACAGTCGAAAATACTGAGCTGTTGTTATAGCAAGTCATACCGTGCTGGCAACTGTTACTTTTGGGTCGGTATTTACATGTGTGGAAGCAAATCGGCATAGGGAACTTATTAAGTTGAAGTGAGAGAAATACGACGGTGTTGCGGCCTTGCCGGTACGCCTTTCCCTATCAAGTAAAGTAAAATCACGATCGCAAACCGCTTATTTTTAAAAGACTTTTTTTTGAAAAGATAACTAGATAAAATCATTTGACATGTTTCTGAGCATCTGAAATGGAATTATAAGGATTATGTGTTATTTATGTGTTAAAAACTCAATTTTTTAACACATAACACGTCATAACTCAAGAACCACTTTAGATATTGAAACTTTTTTTTATTTTGAAGATCGGATCTTTTACAATGTTTACATAAGAAAAATTCGATAAGGTTGTTTTTTCCATTCAAAAATTGTAAACAACACATCCGTTTACTTTTAGAGCACAGCAATTTTCAGCAATCGTGTAATTTTTTTATTGATAAAGATTTTCACCTACTGTCTACGAAGAAAATACAACAGAAATTTTTATTTTTACTGTCGAACACCAACTCAATTCCACTTATTTTTACCAAAAATGCAAGTGTTTCTAGCTTCCACTTAAAAATTTTCAAGCTATTGGGGAAATTACAACGACTCGTTAATAAATAAACAAATAAAGTATCACGAGACGTAATTAAATCGTGAACCTGAATGCATGATGTACACCTTACCCTAGAACTTTAAGTACTGACAGAGGTACTGATTGGGTCGACCGGTCAACTGCGACAAATCTGCTATATCCCCTTCCACGTCTCTTAGCAATGTGCACAGTTTCTCGGTTTATTTCATACGTTTGGCAACGTGTTTACTGTTCTCTCTTTGTTCGGTACATTATAAACGCATTGGACTCTTCTTACATACGGAAATCCCGACCCAAGACTAACCTTTGCCAGCCTTAGTATACGAACAAACCTTAACATTAACTAATAAAAGTAAGACTAAATGCTATCATATTTGTAGTCAGAAGTAAAATATAGTACGTAATTCCTATTGCAAAAGTATATCACGCACTCATCACTACGCACCTAATGCGTGCGTAATATGTTTTTTACTTACGATCTAACCGTGCAGTAAATAGCGTATAGCGCACGGTAAGCAAAACGCACGGAAACACATATACTATAGCAAATATTGCTCGATAACAAAGTAACAGTAAAATTTAAGGAAATCTTTGACTTTTACTGTGACATTACCTAATCAAATTCCTAGGACAGAATATCTACACTCAGATGCAAAAAACGCAACGGAAAAATTGTTGGTCAAATTTAAAATGCAAAATAAAAACACTAAATCACCACAATACACCAAAACACTTTTACTTTTACACTGGACGCGCGTTTCGCTAACCATGCGAAACGCGCATCCAGTGTAAAAGTGAAAGTGTTTTGGTGTATTGTGGTGATTTAGTGTTTTTATTTTTTATCTGCATAACACCAAAGGTTCCAACCCTTAACTGTAATCAAGTTTAAAATGTTATATATATTTTTTTATTGAGCCCTATTTCCTACACTTTTTAGCAAATTGTATATAAATATATCAACTTTAATTCGTAAACTCAGTTTAGTATAAACTTTGGTACTTATTATACAGGGTTAATCGAAGCGTTGTTTTTTACCCGATCTTTAAAATACCCTGTACAATAATTTCATGAGCAAATTTTTCTAAAACATTATTTTTCGGTCAGAACCATGTCTCCTGAATATTTTGTTTTTTGACGCATGTCGACACATGCCTTGGTTAATTTTTAAGAGCAAAATGCAATTTTGCACCACAAACATTTTGCAATTTTTTCTATTATCGTTACTTTTTGTTGCTATTCTTCATAATGGCGAGGTGGCTTTGGTGATTATTGTTTTGTACGATTGAATATGGTTCTTAGTATTGAAAATTGATCAAAAGTCATTGATCTTTGTCGATATTGTCAATATTCGCTTGGTCCTTGAAGAAGAATGGGAAAACACAACACGATATATTTGCAGCCTCATTAACAGCATGAACCGATCCCTACGACAGTTATAGCAGCCGGGGAGGCAATACAAAGTATTGCTAGAAGCTATTAGAGTATTTTTTGTTTGTACACTTAGTTATTACAGTTATTTTTCTAATATCCTTAGTTCTTGTTATGTTACTAATATTTATCAACCCTGTATCGTCAATTTTTAACGTTTTTTAAATTTTAATATAGAGTTCTAATCCGTGTCGATAAGTCCTTAGACGAATAGTTACCAAAGCCACCTCGTGATATTAAAAAATAACATCGTAAAGTAATAATAGTTGAAAAAATTGCAAATTGGTGGCGGCAAGTTCATTTCGCTCTTAAAAATTAACCAAGGCTTGTGTTTACATGGGTCAAAAAACAAAATGCTTAGGAGGCTTTGGCCTATGATTACCCGTCAAGAAAAAATTTGGTTAGAAATCAAAAGTTTATTGTTTAATAAGCTAAATATTATGCTTTCTCTATGGATACAGCAGACTACTGCAAGCTGTTGCTAGGATATTTTATTAATTTTAATTGTGTTTTTTTAGACATTGTGAATGATCGTAAACTAAAAAGTATAAAGTGTAATTGAAACCACTAATGTATTCCACTAATTGGGAGGTTCTGAATGAAGCTTTACAATACCTTCCAGTAAAAATTTAATTCAAATTTAGTACTTTTTTGAATATTCACACTACCCCTCCCAGACTCAATCTCTAGAAGAGCCACTGGTCAGCTTAAAAAATAACTTTCCAATTTCAAAGTCAACCATTTCTCTATCTGAATAGTGAAAAAACTGCTATAAACTGGTTATATATTGTTTAATTTTTATTACTTGCTTTAGACACTTATACAGGACGATGTTTCATAAGTTTTGCCAATTTATGCCAGACTGGATGGGTGTATACCATTTCAGAAAATAATTAGATATTCTAGTTTCTTCTTATTTAAACCTCTCAATTTACGTGATCTAATACAGCCCAATAATTATGTTTCCAGTATTTTAAAGTATTGAATTAAGTATATTTTTGATCCAGCTGAATGTTGAATAGTTTTGTAAGGTTAACTCACAAAAGATAATGAAATGTAATGAATTTTGAGTTATTACGCTTCTGGCTGTAACAGAACAAGCTAAATGTAAATTAGTAACACACTTTACCTTAATGTTTTTTGATATATTTGTAAACTTTAATAGGTTGATAATATGAATTTTCTAACAATTCGTGAGTACTAAACAAAGATTGCTTTTATAAGTTTGGTTAAGTGAGTTGCTGAGTTTACTTCGTATTTACACAACTCGTGTAAGCACGTAGTCTGTGTAAAACTTTGTTAATTTAAAAAATATTTCTTTATATTTCTGTATATATTTAGTTTATAAGTCCACAAGTGATTTTTAAGTTATTGTACGTAGTAGTTTGGATTGGTTTTTATTCAAATTTTGTTTATATTAAAATATATATTAGAATTATTTTCACAGCTGAGTAAACGGCTTATAAAACAAGCTGTTTCGTTTATAATATTATTCATAAGTGTTATATAAATATATTTGGAATAGTGTATATATTAATTAATGCTGACTTTAATCTTAAATCAATAAACTAAATCAAATATAAAATGGTATTTTATTTTTATATTTTAATACTAAAAGAGATTTATCTACGATTACCATGTAAAATAGACAAGAACACGGGATCTGAGACACGCTAAGTACTAAGTACAAAGGTGATCAGATAAAAAAATCTATACAAATTGAAGAATCAGATTAAGATCAGATTTCTGTTTAAAAAATGCAACCTATGTCAAAATTTTACAGGTCCGTCATTTCCAAAATTAGAATATGGCGATACAGACAAAACTGAAACTTTCAAACCGAAATAGACCTACGTGCGCCGTGATTGGTTGTTTGTTTTTTATTGTTAACAAATCACGGCGCGTCTCGGTCTACTTCGAGAAACGTTTCTATCAGTTTCCACAAAATTTTTATAACACGGGTTTATATATTATCGTACCGGATGGCCAACTAAGAATGGACGCCGGCTGTATCTCAGAAACTACTTATCATATAACTTCGGGAAAAAAATTCTAATAAGTAAATCGACCAAGAGAAATCTCTGGAAACTATTTTCGAGTTCGAAAAATGCCCGCTAGGGGGCGTTTCTCTAATAGCTAATCAGAAAACAGTTTTTTTCTCAAAAATATGCAGGTGAACAGGTATTTTAAATATTACTATTGTAATCATCGAGAAATTTGTAGTTTTGTTGATAAAAAGTATTTTGCTCTATCTCATAAAATAAAGTGGTGGAGGAAGGTTAAACTTGCTCTGATTAAAATAAGGATAACTCTGGTTTAGGTTACGCGATTTAAACAAACTAGGGCTCGTTTAAAAGAGCTTTTCTTCCTTAATGATCTCCAGTATAAATTTTGTTTCTACAATTTTTTTCGTGGTAGCTAGAGGGCGCTGTTTGACATCATAACAGATATTGCGCTTTTGCGTAAAAAAATTAAATATGAGGCTATATTTCTCTTTACACAGTTAAATAGAGCACAAAATTTCCAAAATATCAGCGCAAACCGCAACTTTCTATCTTATCTCTATTGTATTGTATTGCATTTGACTAAGAGTGGGTCCCATAGGTGGGGCCGCGAGGGCCTATTGTGGCTCAGTTTCTACAAGCTCTAATTTACAAGAGCGTCAAAGTTCATCCTCAAGACCCAGCCTCTTAATATAGGCCGTTATGTCTGAGGGCGATATGTCTCCTAGGTCTGATAGGTCTAGCATGGGTTTGCCAAACATCTCAAACCTGGTCCTGCTCCCAGCGGGGCAGGTACACATAACGTACTTCATTGTTTCATCATCTTCCATACAGAGTCGGCATTCGGCGTCTTCCACCAGTCAGGTCCTCTGTAGGTGAGATCTCAGCCGGCAGTGGCCCGTGTACACTGCAGTGAGCACACGCGTTCCATTCCTACCGGCCTTTAGGAGTTCTCCTGTTCTATGTTTGGATGGCCCTGCTAGGATTTTCTTGGCATGCTCCATTCCGGGACTGTCATTCCAGTCTCGGAATGTCTCACCTAACCCATTAACAGAGCCTGTCTCTTGCGAGATTTTTGGGAACGCTAAGTGTCGGTTCTGGGCCCACGAATGGCGAGCCTGCACCAATTTTGGCGAGGGAATCAGCACGTTCA